GCTGCTGGGACAATGAACTGTCAAACCAATATTGGAATGGAAAATGTTGAATGAAAAATTATTAAAATTTGTAAAAATTGTTGAAAGACGCGAATTATAAAACATATAAAAATCCACTTATATTTGAAAAAATATTTAAAATTTTTTGACATATCAATGTTCCCAAGCGTTGATGCATCTACCTGTATTTTTCTACCATGGGAAAGACATAAGAACGGGCCTATCTCAGTTAACACTGACTACTGAATAATCGCAATGAATGTGAATTGCAAAGTATACGATAAAATTATTGTGATTGGTCAATTATCGAGGATAATGACGCTTTAAAAATACGCTTACACTGCCTTTACACGGTGCAATTTTTAGCTGGCATTTTTATCAATTCTCTTTTAAAATTTCTGCGTTAATCTTCGCGCCTTTACACGGTGGCATTTTACGATAATAGTACTTGGCATTTTATCTGACATTTTGTTTTATTCAGTATTTCGCATAGAGCTAATTGTTTGTAACCGATATTTATAAAGAAGTGATTTGAAATTAAATGTGTGAATCTAAAGAAGAAATGATGGAAAAAGTTATTGAGGTGTTAAATATTGCATTATTAACTATTATTTTAACTTTCTTCTTTTGCTTTTTAATACTTCCAATTAATTTTCATATAATTCATTATACAATTCAATCACTAAAAACATAACATCACAATAAAAGAAACGCATCAAAAATTACAATAAAGAAACGATATGAAATGTCAAAATCATAAAAAATTCGGAAGAAGCAAAAAGGTGGCTTATCGTGCCATTTTTTCTTCTATCTTTGTCTCTCTACACCTTTTACCAACAAAAAAATGGCATGGTTAAAAAATGTCACCGTGTAAAGGCAGTGTTATATACAAATTATCTACCCGGAATAACCCTTATAACCGACCAATCACAATAAATTTAATGTAAGTTTTGTACGGTCATGTTTATTATGATTGGTCAATTGTTAGGTTTACCCCGGGTAGATATATTGTATGTAAAGGTACTTCTAGATAAAAAAATTACCCGGATTAACAGACATCATCAGGATTTTTTGCTTAAAGTACGTTTATATATATGAGGGTTAACCCACTAGATTTGGATTTAAATTGTCATATCCATTACTTTTACTTCAAATAAATCCTCTCAAAGTAGGTTAACCCTACAAAAAGTTCTAACGTAAACATGGCATTAATTCTGATTTATTTAAACAGTTTTAAGTTCATATTTACCCATTGTACAATGCAGACAAGGTAGGGCATATCAATCACCCATAGTAGAAGAATATAGGTAGTCCCATCGACACAGCTGCTGGGACGATGATCTGTCAAAACAATTTTGAAATTGAAAACTTTAAATTTAAAATTATTCATTATCGTTAAAATAGTCGTCAATGTATATCATAACAACCTCCGATTGGCATCGTATAAGAAAAAGTATAAAAATCTACTTATTTTTGAAAAAACATTTAAAATTTTTTGACATTTAAATTTTCCCAAGCGTTGATGCATCTACCTGAATTCCTCTACCATGCAATCACCTGAATACAATTTTTTCTTTTGATAGTCTTGTAATGTTTAAACATACATGACTCACTGAGAGAAGCAATTAGGAAAATGCAAAACTCCAGTACATTGTGTCAAATAACCATTTATATTTTTTCATAAAATTCTTATATTTAAGGAAAACACATAAGACATGAATGTAATGCCGGGGTTATTCCACAAAATTAAGCCAAAAATAGAAGGATAATATTTTTTATCAAAAATTGTACAGTTTGTTGTCCATTAATATCGAAAATATGAAATTTTGATGCAACTGAATTTGAAATAGTATCAAATAGGCCCATCCATGGTAGAATAATGCAGGCAATAGCAACTGTTGTTGTACAACAATCGTAACAACAACCACAAATAATATTGATTTCGTACGTAATACAAGTATCAGAGTTATGTGTCCAAAAATGTTAACAAAATAATTAATTTTCAATAAACTATTTTAATTTCAAAAGTATACATTTTTGGAATTTGGATTATTAAATTGAAAATGCAGAAATATAGTTCTTAAAATATTTAACTTTAATGCTCTCATATCATTCCCCTGAATGTATAGTTGTTAGCTGTTGGTCCTAATCTCCCAACACCTCAAGCAATCGCTAGAAAAACGTGAAAAAGGCAACATCCCTTTCAAGTTGGAAACAAACAGCATACATACATAAAGTATTCTACATTTTGCATTTTTATGAAACATTAAATATACGAATATATTATTTAACGTGGTGTCGCTGATCCTTAACCGCCAAAAACGTTTTCGAACCATCGCCTTTGGCGTTTTGTTAAGTACAACGGCGATTTTTTCTATTATTGGGCAAAAAATATGTTCACATTGCCCTGCAGTGAAATTTTATATCAAAAAAAGGTTTACCTATTGTATATTAAGAAATGCAATTAAATCACAAAACGTCACATAAAGTTTGACACTAGTATTACTATAGCATGGCAGAAGAATACAGGTAGATGCATCAACGCTTATGAGCATTGATATGTCAAAAAAATTTAAATGTTTTTTTTTTCAAATATAAGTAGATTTTAAAATATTTTCTTATACGATGTCATTCGGAGGTTATTACAATTCGCGTATTTAAACAATTTTTACAAATTTAAATAATTTTTCATTCAAGATTTTCAATTCTACTGTACTATAGAGTCAAATCAGCTGGGACTTGCTGTTAACTGTAATAATTATACCATGAGGGCCAACAAAGAAAAAAAGGTATTTAGGAAGTAGCTTCGTTTTACCTTTTGTTATTGTGTCATGATAACATGTATATAGGTTTTGTATGTGTATGTATTGTTTTGAATAATATTCAATATTCGTTTCCCTTATAATTTGACAAAAATATGTCTAGCCATGATACCAAGCTGCTTATTTACCCACACCCTTAGATTTAAGGTGAGAATACATAAGTTGCTTTTTTGATCGGCTTAAGTCATCAGCTGGCTTCATATGAAAAGGCGCGTAGGACAAAATCGAACTAAGTCAACCTAAAACTCCTTTGTTCCTCTATAAAGAAGCCAGCAGACTTAAGCCAGTCAAAAAAGCCTTTTATCTACTCTTTCCTTTACACATGGTAGTATAAAATGGTAAGCTAAAACTATCAGCTTTAAGTTACAATTACGAGTTTGCCAGTTTTGAATTTGTATTTATCGTTTTAAAAAATAAAAACAATTTTTTTGGAAAATGAATGTCTAGGACGTACATTGCGGGGTTCGCATTAAGGACATTAACCAGTTTTGGACATTAGCCAGTTATTAATGAAGTCATTAAAGGGGTTGGATCGTATTTTTAAAGAAAATTCAGACATTTCATTCATGTCTCGCGCTTACAACGACAAATTGTCATGTTTAATTTTGAATAATTCTGACAGGAACCGGGCATTGCATCATGGCTGCTATCAGTAGTTTTACAAAACTGTTCCACCCATGGTACAATGAATACAAGGTAGGCTAACTTTGAAAAAATTGCAAGTATAGAGGTCTACCTGTTTGGCTTGTAATGTCAGAATTGCTATCAAACAATAAAAAAGCAAACAACTTGTTACATTGATTTTGAATAAATAATTTAAAACCGCGAAAATCGAATAAAAGGTCAACATTTCTTTTCAAAATCATGTTCTATATATCTCTTATGGTTTATTTCGCGACAAAAACTGTAGACTTTGTCGATGCATACGTTGCAATAAACATTCTGAAAACACCCGAATTTGAATATTTTCTGAACAATTTTTTTTATTATTAAAAAGAAGACACACACATAAGCAAATGAAGTTGACATATTAAGCCAGAAAAATAAAAAAATTTAAATCATATGGTAGTTCTGTCCTACCTTGAATTCATTGTACCATGGTTCCACCCATGGTACAATGAATACAATGTAGGCTAACTTTGAAAAAATTGCAAGTAAAGAGGTCTACCTGTTTGGCTTGTAATGTCTGAATTACTATCAAAACAATAAAAAAGCAAACAACTTGTTGCATTGATTTCGAATAAATAATTTAAAACAGCGAAAACTGAATGAAAGGTCAAAATTTCTTTTCAAAAACACGTTCTATATATGTCTTATGGTTTATTTCGCGACAAAAACTGTAGACTTTGTCGATGTATACGTCGAAATAAGCATTTTGAAAACACCCGAATTTGAATATTTTCTGAACAATTTTTTTATTATTGAAAAGAATACACACACATAAACAAATGAAGTTGACATATTAAGCCAGAAAAATAAAAAAATTAAAACAATTTTTTTTATTATTAAAAAGAAGACACACACATAAGCAAATGAAGTTGACATATTAAGCCAGAAAAATAAAAAAATTTAAATCATATGGTAGTTCTGTCCTACCTTGAATTCATTGTACCATGGTTCCACCCATGGTACAATGAATACAATGTAGGCTAACTTTGAAAAAATTGCAAGTAAAGAGGTCTACCTGTTTGGCTTGTAATGTCTGAATTACTATCAAAACAATAAAAAAGCAAACAACTTGTTGCATTGATTTCGAATAAATAATTTAAAACAGCGAAAACTGAATGAAAGGTCAAAATTTCTTTTCAAAAACACGTTCTATATATGTCTTATGGTTTATTTCGCGACAAAAACTGTAGACTTTGTCGATGTATACGTCGAAATAAGCATTTTGAAAACACCCGAATTTGAATATTTTCTGAACAATTTTTTTATTATTGAAAAGAATACACACACATAAACAAATGAAGTTGACATATTAAGCCAGAAAAATAAAAAAATTAAAATCATATGGTAGTTCTGACCTACCTTAAATTCATTGTACCATGGTTTCACCTTCTTATCGTACCATTGGTTTACATTACATTGAAAACACGACTTTCAAAAATGAACGAGAGTATGTACCACACTTCAGTATTCAAATTCCTGGAATGAAATTGGCAACGCAGGCTTATTTTTACGCCCATACGAGCTTTCGGCAACACTTCTTTTTCTCTTCTGACGTTTATTTTTCTTTTATTTTTCTTTTGATTGCGTGAATTTATAAATTTCTTTCTATTTGTGTATTTGTTCGACGAGAAAAGTGCTATTTTGGATAGTATAAGTCGTCATACGATGGCCAAGTTTTATAAACTGGATATAAATCGCACGGAATGGGAAATTCCTGATACCTATCAACAATTGCAGTCTGTTGGAAGTGGGGCGTATGGGCAAGTATGCAAAGGTATAATAGAAAACATCCCGATAAATAGTATATAAGTTTTGATAAGATAGTATTTTCTATTTCTTATATTCGCTCACCAGCCATTGTTCGTGGGTCCAATATGAAAGTGGCAATTAAGAAATTGGCTCGTCCATTTCAATCTGCTGTACATGCAAAAAGGACATACCGTGAATTGAGACTATTGAAGCACATGGATCATGAAAATGTCATTGGTTTGTTGGATGTTTTTCATCCTGGTCAACCATCGAATTCTTTGGAACATTTTCAGCAGGTGTATTTAGTCACACATCTTATGGACGCTGATCTGAATAACATAATTAGAACCCAGAAATTATCGGACGACCATGTTCAGTTCTTAGTCTACCAAATATTAAGAGGACTAAAGTACATTCATAGCGCTGGAATTATACATCGGGATTTAAAACCGTCAAATATTGCTGTTAATGAGGACTGCGAGTTGAGAATTTTAGATTTTGGGTTGGCACGCCCAGCCGAAAGTGAAATGACAGGCTACGTGGCTACACGTTGGTACAGAGCTCCCGAAATTATGCTCAACTGGATGCATTATAATCAAACTGTTGATATTTGGTCTGTGGGTTGCATTATGGCCGAACTGCTTACCGGACGCACACTTTTTCCGGGTACAGATCATATACATCAGTTAAATTTAATTATGGAAATTTTAGGGACGCCGCCGGAAGATTTCATGCAGAAAATCTCTTCAGATAGTGCTCGCAATTACATTCGCTCACTACCAATTATGCAGCGTCGCAATTTCCGTGACGTGTTCCGTGGGGCCAATCCTTTGGCAATAGATCTTTTGGAGAAAATGTTGGAATTAGACTCCGAGAAGCGAATTACAGCAGAACAAGCTTTGGCCCATCCATATATGGAGAAATATCACGATCCTACAGATGAACAAACTTCACCATTATATGATCAAAGTTTTGAAGATATGGATTTGCCAGTCGAGAGGTGGAAGGAGCTAGTGTTTAATGAAGTTTTGAATTTTAAACCCTTGCCGGCATTCGCAGATGTCTTAAGTCAAGCTCAACAATCACCTGGACAAGGACAATAGTCACAACAGTAAAAATATAATGCACTTTGTTTGCCTTGTAGAAATAACTTTTAAACATTTTCGATATGTACTTAACGTCAAGATGTTATTACTTTAGGGTATGTTTTATATCCTTTTATTTAAATAATCCATGTAAACGTCGTTGCGCCTAATATTATTATAACCATTAATAAAGAAAAAAGGAACACATTTGCCCAATATCTCTTTTCGTTTATGTTTAGTTTTTTTTAGATATTTTCATTTCATTTATTATGTAAATGCTGTGCTGATACGATTTGAAAATAAATAGAATAGCGAATGAAAGATGTGTAATTGAATTATACATAAGTTGTCGGTGAAACGGCATAATGTGTTGCCGTGTGAATTAATTTCATATACATATGTGCCAATCCCGAAAGTTGTTCGACAAAAAATTCAAGCTCAATGTGTATCAAGGTGTATTTCTTATAAAGTTCATGTATATTTATTACAATATCAACTAAAATTTTAGATTTTATGTGAGTTTTAGATTCAGCACTTTATCATCAACTTTTGTTTTTATAACTTGTTATATCTTATCAAATATATCCTGATGTGTTTTTACAAAGTAATTTTAGGGCTAGCTGCGGAATTCTCGTGCTGTTGTTTTAATATATTTTTTTCTTCTATTAATGGATTCCTTCATGGTACAACCATGGCAAAATTCTCATGCCAACATGTGATATACAATTTGATTGATATACAAAATGATTTTTTTCTTCGAAATGTATGCACAGCTTGTATTCTGTGTACCGTATTCTTGTAAGTACAAGTCGTAATTGTTGTCCGTTCAAGATAACATTTTGTATAGAAAGAAGAATATTTTAAATTTATCGTTAACTTTCTAGTCTCTTCTAATAATAAGTCGGAGACACCATGATCAATATAAAATTCTAGGTCTTGCCGTTCTACGTTCACTCTCTCTACGCTAAACCTCGGACATATAAAGAAAACATCCCAGTCAGCATTTTTTGAAAATGTTAATCACATTCGAGTCTTTTTTGATCCTGTAGCGCGATTAAAACGCAGGAATATGAAATCATTTTCTGATCATAAAAGACACTTGTCGGGAGAAAAACGTGACCTCCCGCACTTCTAAATAAATCACATATGTGTATTCCTCTAGATTAGCTAAGAGTTTTTCGACCATTTTCTATTTATTGCGCTAATACTCTGAATTTGTAAATCTTTTTAAGTCATTTTTTGATCATTTATGAGTCTTTACCCCGCAGGCATTTGGAAGTGAGTTACTCACTTCCATTTTAAGATGCCACTTCTGCGACGCTTCTAATCCTAATAAATGCGATAGTATTTACATTTACAATAACAAAACTACTGTTGTCTACTTTCTATCGTAGCGACTGCCATCGGATAAAACAGTGATAGTTTGCAATCGTTTACGAATTGAACAAAAATAAGACTTTATTCTATCTGAGGAATATAAGATACTGTGGCGCAGTGGTAAGCATGCAAGCTTTGCTTTCTGAACACCTCGGTTCGATTCCCAATCCAGACATCCGGTTTTTAAAACGAAAAAAAATGTTTGAGTATTTCATCTAATAAGTAAGAGTTCTATGCAAATGAATATTGGAAAAAGTAACAATAACAATAAAAAAATAAATGCTTAAGTCTGGAGTAAAAAAAAATTTTTTTTTGTTTTTTTTTTTTCACTTCTAACAACTATCGAGGAAGTGACTTCCACGATTATTAGAAAACTATCGCGGGCGTGTTTCATCTCTTCCCGAAGGATGCTCCTTCCGGGGTGAGAAAGCTATATCAAACGCGATGATTTATATCGCTTAGGCGTGACTTCTAAGTGATTTGGGGATAGTTTTTACTTGCTGGGTAGTGAGTAATTTATTAGTCTTTAAAGTGTCATATATCACTCATATGTATTTTCATTTAGGAGGCTTTTTTAAGTCACCTTTGTCTTAAATTTGAGTCATTTATGAGTCTTATATGAGTGTTTACGATTCTACGAGTGTATTTGAATAGCACAATAATAACAAGGTAGGGCAGAATGATTAAATTTGAAAAGCAGAATAGAATATATAAATAACTTTTTTTTTACCGTCACTAAATAGCACTTCTCTGAACTCGGCTTTACACTGGTCCCCTTCCAGCGGTATTGGCAGGCTAAATTATCTGAAAAAAATGTGGGGGGTCCAATTTTTTATACTTACAAAATGTTTAAGCACTCGGCCCAATTACGGTTGTCGTTACTATGGTCGTCGTCGACTTTATGTGAGAGTCGCCCTCGCCGTCGCTTCGATTCAAAAATGGTATTCGGCCCTATTATGGTTGTCGTCGGCGTTGCAAAATGAAGTCGAGGCGACAATAATGATATTAGGGTTGTCGTTTTTTGTCGATAGCGACAAATGGTTGCCATTATCATTGTCGATGCAACAGTCGACGTGAAGTCGATCTTTGAGAATATCTGTCGCCGTAAAAAATTGTGACGACATTGTATTTTTTAGTCGACGTTGATATTGTAAGCATTTTGTATTTGATATTTGACCATGAAAATAACAACAGCAAAACAATTTGAAATTTTGGTTTCCGAAATGGAAAAAAATCCATGTTTGGCAAAAGGGTTTACCAAAGGTCATGTTCCAGCTAATTTTAAATCAGATTGGGAATCCATTGCTACAAAATTAAATGTAAACGGGCCTCCGATTAGAGACCCCGATGGCTGGCAAAAAGTATGTAAAAATTAAAATTATTTTTGTATGTTTTTATTAGTTAGTTTTCTAAAATTCTTCTAGGTTTGGAAAGATTTAAAATTTAAAACTAAAAAGAAACTTGTGCACAACAAGGGTGAAACCAGCAGCACTGGAGGTGGCATTTTTAAGCAAATGATTTTGTCGCCTTTGGAGGAGTCTGTAGCGAATATAATGCAGTTTCTAAAGTTACTGAATCCACCAGGTCGTGCACTTGGAATAGAAAATAACGAAAACATAAGTGTAATAGACGTTATAGTTAATGAAAATGAGCAAGTGGACAATGTTGATGACGAAGCTGATGTAACAACTTTTGAAGCTTCTCGATCGTCCAGAAAAAACAATAGTAGAAAGTCAACAAGAAAAGAAGAAACTATTGAACTCTTGAAAGAGCAGTATTAACTTTTGGTACAACACAATCAAGAGAGCCGTAAAATCTGGAACGACATTAATAATAATTAAAAAGAAAATGTGAGATACCAACGCAAGCGCTTCCAGATTGAAGAAGAACGCCATAAAATGTTAAAAGAACAATTTAAGCGGGATGAAGAGATCAGGGATCTAAAACATAAAATTAAAAAAAGGAAACTTGAAGTTATTGAACTGCAGCTGGCGGAATTAAAAAATTAATAGGTTAAGAAGCTCGTGGAATTAAGAGATCTCATTTATAGTTATTATTCAAATTTAAAATCATGAAATGAATTTATAGTTTAAGATATTTTTAATGTTTATGCGTAGTATTTTGTTTTTTTTTTTTTTTTATTGAATAGATTTCTTTAGCTATTGCTAAAATAAATTGTCCCTTATATTGTTCCTTATTTGACTAGCTTCGGTGGAGTACGCGCCTTCAACATCTTCTTGATAATTTCGTTCTTGCATGATTATGTTTTCGATGTCATCCAAGTGTTCCTCTTCAAAATCCATGCACATGTTGTGTAGTGCAACACACACATTTGCAATTACTGCAGCTTTGATTGGGCTATAGTGCAGCTCACGGGCTCCTAATAGGCACCGAAAGCGTGATTTAAGAAGTCCAATTGTTCTTTCAACAATGTTTCTTGCCTTTGCATGTTTGCTGTTGAAATTGCTTTCACGACTTCCTTCTGTAGTAGATCGGTACGGTGTCATTAGAAATGGTTCCAAAGGATACCCGGCATCGCCTATAACAGAAAATTCTTGTTAGCTTATGATCAATTACTTTACGAACATAATTACCAAGTAGCCATGAATTTCGTTCTCCTGCATCATACCGTTCCTGGAGTAAACGTTTCATCCCGCTTACATTCCATACTAAGGAGTCATGTGCCGATCCGCCATATCTTGCATCAAAATACCTTATTTTCATTTTGTGGTCACATACCTAAACAAAGTAAAAGAAATAAATACACATATTTAACAATTAAAATGAACTGACAACTCACAACCATGGTGTTTAAACTATAAAATCCTTTACGGTTGAAATACATATTTGCATCGTTTCTTCCTGGCGAAATAATTTTGATGTGGGTTCCATCCACACAACCTATCACACCAGGAATTCCGGAATTTGTAAAAAAGTATTCTTTCGCGGAATTCTTCTCTTCCTCCGTCATAGAAGCTTTAATCCACTTACAACAGATTGTTGCTTCACAAGCTTCCAAAATTTCCTTCAATACAACACTCACAGTGAGTTGTGCAATGGAAATATTGAAGTCATTTCCGACACTGGTCTGATAAGATCCTTGCGCTAAAAATATTAATGCTGTGGCTAATTTTATTTCAGGCCTAAGAGCCAATGACCGGCGTCCACTTTTCAACTTTGGCGAAATTTCTTTTAGCACATCCTGAAAACAGTCCTTGTTAATCCTGAAGTAATTTTCAAATCTAAAAGAACACATAAAGTACTTATTTTAATTAAATTAATTGAAATACTTACTTGGAGTCAGGCAATGCAAATATGTCTGTTTGCTGCCTTAGCACTCGCCGCTGCACTACTAATACATTCTCGTGAGTGAGGATAAACACTTGAACTTAAGATATGTAACGCATTTATAATATTCATTTTTTCACTATATTTTTTTTTTTCCGAAAGAGACAAAATTAGAATTCAAAATACAAAAAAAAAAAATATTTTTTTGTCAATAACAAAGGAGTGTTGCCAACGTTTTTTAAAGTTGTTGCCAACTTTTATTTTAAACTGTCGATGTCGTTTCTATGCCTTGCCGTAATACCATTTTTGAATCGAAGCGACGGCGATGGCGACTTGAACATAACGTCGCCTTCGACTATAGAAGCGACAACCATAATTGAGCCGATTATGGTAAGGCATAGAAGCGACATCGACAGTTTAAAATAAAATTGACAACAATTAAAAAACGTTGGCAACACTCCCTTGTTATTGACAAAAAAAGATATTTTTCTGGTATTTTGAATTCTAATTTCGACTCTTCGGAAAAATAAAAAATATAATGAAAAAATGAAGATTATAAATGCGTTACATATCTTACAGCCTGTTCCACGATATCGAAAGAACACGTTCGCACAACTTTTACACGACAAACAGTTGATTTCCGTTCCACTAAAATCCATCAGAACGAAAATTTGCACGAAAATCAAAGCGAACGAAAACGTAAGCGTTTCAGTGTAATTTTGCGTTCCACTATCTTTTTTCTTGAAAAAAAACCTAGTGAACCCTACAACATACCAGACGTGCTGATTAAAGCTGCAATTAAAAAAAAATTATTTTTGCGAATTCAAAGTATTTTTTAACCGTCTGCAGGCATCAGATTTGCATTAATTTGCAATGGAGATGCCTGACACTCTTCCTGATATGGAATACGACGTACCCGAAGTTATTGCATTAACTTCAAATTCATTCCCGCCATTACCAACAACAAACAAACAACTTAAAGACTGCGATCAAAATGAAAGAAAAAGACAACGTCTTGAAAATGTGCAGTCACCAGTGAACATAAATATTGCCGACCTAAGAGAACGATTATTGAGTCATAATCCTGATGATCCTAATAAATTTGGAATCCTAGGTGCTCTTGCGGACGTTGACATAGGTATTGCAGCTCCTGCCGAAAACAATGACAACGCAAAACCCCGCATAACCAGAGATGGGAGACACAAATCAAAAATGTCTTGGTGCCCGCCAATTTTTGTCTTCAATGTAAATATGATGACGTTGATTGAGTCGCTTAAAGCATCAATTCCTCAATCCTCTTTTAAAATTAAAAACATAAACAAGACAAAGAGCAAAATATTTCTATCGGATCCAAAAGTTCATGCTTCTATGATGGCTATACTGAGGGCAAAAAACATAGACTCCTATACATTCACGCCAGAAGAGCTGAAACAAGATTCAATTCTGATCCGGGATCTCCACGCATTTTCAGACATACAGGAAATCAAAGAAGAGTTGGACAGTCTAGTTCCTGACCAGTGGCAAATGTTTCAAAATTCAAAACCCTAATGTCTATAAAGAAAAACATTGACACTGGCTTATTTTTGGTATCCTTACTGCCAGGAAAAAAAGCTAGTGAGATTACACACATAAAAGAACTAAATAGACAAATTATCAAATAGGAAAAACCGAAGAAAAGAGATCGCGATCCTCAGTGCCGCAGATGTCAAGGCCACGGCCACATCTCCCGCAACTGCAATTGTCCATATAGATGTGTTAAATGTGACCAAAAACATCTTCACGGTGAGTGCCAGCGAACTGCTACAGACTCATCAGAACCTTACTGCGTCAATTGCGGTAAATTAGGCCACCCGGCTAATTGGAGAGGTTGTCCGTCTTATAAAGCCTATGTCGCAGCCAGACGGAAAAAAGTCGCCAACGCAATGGAAATTAAATCGATCGCCCAAAATAACGTAAGTAGAGCATTGAACATGTCTATATTATCTCCGGGTAAGACGTTTGCCAGTCATTTTAAAACACCTGTAAAGGGATCAGAAACTTCTCAAAAGCCACCTCTAATACAACAATTCCTTGAACTTGCCAATTTATTTCTAGAGCCCGAAGTGCTTTCTCTAGAACAAGAAATTGAAATATTTCTAAACACCTTCCAAAAAAAAAGTCAAAGGCAGAAGCAAAGCAAGAATTCCTAAGGCTTCTCACAAAAGTAAAATCTATCTATGGACCATAGATCCTTTTTATGTCTCACACTCAATGTACGCTCACTAGTTGATTCTAGTAGACAACTTGAATTAGAAAATATGCTCCATCGTGAGAACATAGATTTTGCTTTTATTCAAGAATGCCATCTGCGGAACAACAAGAAAATATGGATTAATGGCTATAACTTTATATATGACAACTCTTCTGTTGGAATTGCAGTAATTGCGAAAAAAAAACATAAAATTTTCCAGAGTCCCTTTTAACGACGTCGGTATTGTTACGTCGTTCATTCAAATAGAAATATTGAGAAATAACAACACCTTTAAATACCTCATTGGCTCTGTCTACATTCCTTGCAGTATGCCAGTAAACTCTCTTAAATCAGATTTAAACAAATTGCTACAACTTTGCAAAAACTTTGATGGATTTATTCTTGGAGGTGACCTCAACTCAAAAAGTACCTCATGGGGTGATCTACATGAAAATTCTAATGGCAAAACGCTGCGCGCATGGTTGGCTGATAACTCACTAGAGGTTACATGTCTTTGTGGTTCCACTCCATCGTTCCCAAATGGTTCCTCATTCTTGGATCACTTTCTAATTTCCTCTCATTTGGTCGAACCCGGGATTCAAAACTGCAATATACAAACGCTGCCAACTTTCTCCGATCACTTTCCCATTAAACTGGCATTATCATTTTATTGCACAAATCTAATTTTGAGACAGCCAAAGTTCTTCACCTCATATAAAAACACGAATTGGAACAATTTTCGACAAGAGCTAAATTTAATGTCAACGCAAATTATGCCGCCAATTAATAGGAACCTATCAAATGGACAAATCGATGATGTTATCGAAGACTTTAACTGCGAACTTCTTCGAATTCACAACAATCACTCACAAAAATTGCCCTAAATATCCATAAACCGCCTTTATCTGATAAGGTTCAGAATTTTCTCAAAGTTAAACATAGATGACAGAAGGAACTAAAGAAGATTTACCACCGTACTGGAAATAGGATAAGCCCTGAATACACTATACTTTCTAAGCAAATCCAACTTCTTAAAATTATCATTCAAAATCTGATCAATTCTGAATCTGCGCAGGCGTTCAGTAATAAATTGAAAACTATCAAACCCGGGCCATCAGCATTTAAAAAAGTAGCTCAACTTACCGGCAAAAATAATTCATCATTTTGCGAAAAACTTCAAATAGGAAATGAAACCATTACGGAAAGTTCCGAAATTGCTAATAATTTTAAACAATTTTATTCTGAAAATTTTCAAGAAAATGTACCCACAAACCCTGTAGACGATCTTAGCTCTAGAGTCACAACATGCATCAACGCCGTTCCACCGCACATCTACTCATTTGATGATAACTTCAATTCATTAAACAATCCAGACTCTTCACTTTACCAATCCTGAAAAGATAAAAATCGCAATTACTAATATCAATTGTAAAAAATCAAGCGGCCCTGATGAGATTTCCAATTTTCTCATTAAAAAGTTCCCAGATAATGTTATAAATCTGCTTACATGTCTCTTCAACAACTGCATTAACAATGGATATTTCCCATCACTCTGGAAATTGGCGAAAATTATTCCCATAAAGAAGAAAATAATTAATGACAACACTTTGAGCAATTTTCGTCCAATATCACTATTGTCCAACATCGGGAAGTTATTTGAGTCGGTCCTAAAAGAAAAAATGGAAAACGAATTACCAGTTAGTCCAATCTCAGCATACCAATTTGGGTTCAAGTCTGGCCATTCCACACAACACGCGCTTCTGAAGCTCCACAGTGATATAACATCAAACCTAAGGAACCAAGTGTCTACTGTAGCGATTTCCTTAGACATACAAAAAGCATTTGACTCGGTATGTCACACAGGAGTACTTTACAAGTTAATCGAAATTGGTATAGACCCATACCTGGTCAAGTTGATGGCAAGTTTTTTCACTGCACGAAAGTTTTTAATTAATATCAAAAACACGTCGTCAGCCACGGGTTTAGTAAACAGTGGGGTGCCACAAGGAAGTATTTTAGCCCCTTACCTTTTCAATATTTTCCTGTATGACTTCCCCCATATCGGCCAAGGCTCTCAAGCGATTTTATATGCTGACGACTGCTTAATTTACAAAACGCCAGAACTCATCTCCAGAGCATCCATGAATTCTATCAAAAATGGGGAATCAAAATCAATGCCGATAAATCCGTAGCAATATGTTTCCGGAACGCTTCGGGAAAATGCCCTAGAAACGTTGTTCCAGAGAGTAAAGAACTTCAGCTGTCTCTTGAAGGAGTTGAGATTCCCTTTAAAACATCTCTCAAATACTTGGGTATTACTCTCACCAATCTGATGAAGTTCAATATACACGCACGGTCCGTCATGCAGAAGACAAAAGGTATATTAGTAAAGTTTTCATATCTATTAAATAGCAAATACCTACCACAAAACACGAAGTTACTTCTCTACAAAGTTGCAATTAGATCTATCTTAGCGTACGGGTTTCCGATCTGGTTCTCTATTTCCCCAATAGTGGCCAAGGAGTTAGAAATTCTAGAACGCAAGATTTTAAGAAAATGTGTCAACAAAAGCTACATTTCACAGGAAAAGAGATACAGCAATACTTACATATACAACACGTCCAGGGTTGTGCCTTTTTGTAAGTATATCCAAAGCCACCAGAAGAAATTCGTGGAAAAACTCGAAACCCATGAAAACTTACTAATGAATGAAATCTACCAAATGGAAAAGCACATATCGTGGCCAGAATCGTATTACCTCTCTCCAATTGGTATATTAAACGAACCAGCCACAGATGTCAACAACGAATACACGCTACCTCCTTTTTACAGCAAATCAGCACCTGGCAACCATAGAGGTTAAGCTACAAAATATAAAATTAATATTTATATATATATTGGTATAATTCTTTTACAAATTACACTCACCAATAATTAGATTATTAAGCTCTAAACTGTACCTAAGCGTTCGATTTACTTAGAATCGCATTTCAAACCTGTGATAAAATTTATACAAATTACATTTTAGTAATAGTCATTTAAATAATCTCCATAGACTACTATGATCCCTGTTAGTCAATTACTTAACAGAACTTTGTTTGTTATTTAGTTTTTATGTTTGTTTTTATACCTTTATTTATTTATTTACAGACATTCTCGCTCTGTTCATAACATTTGAGGCCGTGAGCAAGCCTCTCTCATAATTTCAATCTGTTTTTACTTTAAACATTCTGCCTTTTCATTCAAGCAATGTAGCATAATCATATATGTCACGATTAAGTTAGAACAAGACAACAATAGTTCTAAGGGTATACTGTTAACCATTCGTAATGTAAACCTATCAAAGAAAGAAGAAGACTCAAATAAAGAATTACCTACTTACTACTTACTATCTTTTTTCTTTCGTACGCATGCGAACACAAATGTCAAAATCAGTCACTTGTGTGTTTGCTGTCGAATGATAAAAATTAAGGAAAATTGTTTTAACATAAACATTCCTTAATTGAAAATGGAAAGAAAAATGTAAGTAAAAATAATAAATGCAATTTAATCTGTGAACAACAAATATATATTTTTTATTTTCTCAATTCCAGCACGAAAAAACTACACAGCTGCGGGCACTAGTTGAGTATATGGAGGAGAATCCTAAGTTCGCCAGAGGAGTGCCAATTTTTGGAAGCAGCAGGCAATCCCTTGAAGAAGAACTTGAAGAAAGTTCCGAAATTGCTAATAATTTTAAACAATTTTATTCTGAAATTTTTCAAGAAAATGTACCCACAAACCCTGTAGACGATCTTAGCTCTAGAGTCACAACATGCATCAACGCCGTTCCACCGCACATCTACTCATTTGATGATAACTTCAATTCATTAAACAATCCAGACTCTTTTCACTTTACCAATCCTGAAAAGATAAAAATCGCAATTACTAATATCAATTGTAAAAAATCAAGCGGCCCTGATGAGATTTCCAATTTTCTCATTAAAAAGTTCCCAGATAATGTTATAAATTTGCTTACATGTCTCTTCAACAACTGCATTAACAATGGATATTTCCCATCACTCTGGAAATTGGCGAAAATTATTCCCATAAAGAAGAAAATAATTAATGACAACACTTTGAGCAATTTTCGTCCAATATCACTATTGTCCAACATCGGGAAGTTATTTGAGTCGGTCCTAAAAGAAAAAATGGAAAACGAATTACCAGTTAGTCCAATCTCAGCATACCAATTTGGGTTCAAGTCTGGCCATTCCACACAACACGCGCTTCTGAAGCTCCACAGTGATATAACATCAAACCTAAGGAACCAAGTGTCTACTGTAGCGATTTCCTTAGACATACAAAAAGCATTTGACTCGGTATGTCACACAGGAGTACTTTACAAGTTAATCGAAATTGGTATAGACCCATACCTGGTCAAGTTGATGGCAAGTTTTTTCACTGCACGAAAGTTTTTAATTAATATCAAAAACACGTCGTCAGCCACGGGTTTAGTAAACAGTGGGGTGCCGCAAGGAAGTATTTTAGCCCCTTACCTTTTCAATATTTTCCTGTATGACTTCCCCCATATCGGCCAAGGCTCTCAAGCGATTTTGTATGCTGACGACTGCTTAATTTACAAAACGCCAGAACTCATCTCCAGAGCATCCATGAATTCTATCAAAAATGGGGAATCAAAATCAATGCCGATAAATCCGTAGCAATATGTTTCCGGAACGCTTCGGGAAAATGCCCTAGAAACGTTGTTCCAGAGATTAAAGAACTTCAGCTGTCTCTTGAAGGAGTTGAGATTCCCTTTAAAACATCTCTCAAATACTTGGGTATTACTCTCACCAATCTGATGAAGTTCAATATACACGCACGGTCCGTCATGCAGAAGACAAAAGGTATATTAGTAAAGTTTTCATATCTATTAAATAGCAACTACCTACCACAAAACACGAAGTTACTTCTCTACAAAGTTGCAATTAGATCTTTCTTAGCGTACGGGTTTCCGATCTGGTTCTCTATTTCCCCAATAGTGGCCAAGGAGTTAGAAATTCTAGAACGCAAGATTTTAAGAAAATGTGTCAACAAAAGCTACATTTCACAGGAAAAGAGATACAGCAATACTTACATATACAACACGTCCAGGGTTGTGCCTTTTTGTAAGTATATCCAAAGCCACCAGAAGAAATTCGTGGAAAAACTCGAAACCCATGAAAACTTACTAATGAATGAAATCTACCAAATGGAAAAGCACATATCGTGGCCAGAATCGTATTACCTCTCTCCAATTGGTATATTAAACGAACCAGCCACAGATGTCAACAACGAATACACGCTACCTCCTTTTTACAGCAAATCAGCACCTGGCAACCATAGAGGTTAAGCTACAAAATATAAAATTAATATTTATATGTATATATTGGTATAATTCTTTTACAAATTACACTCACCAATAATTAGATTATTAAGCTCTAAACTGTACCTGAGCGTTCGATTTACTTAGAATCGCATTTCAAACCTGTGATAAAATTTATACAAATTACATTTTAGTAATAGTCATTTAAATAATCTCCATAGACTACTATGATCCCTGTTAGTCAATTACTTAAAAGAACTTTGTTTGTTATTTAGTTTTTATGTTTGTTTTTATACCTTTATTTATTTATTTACAGACATTCTCGCTCTGTTCATAACATTTGAGGCCGTGAGCAAGCCTCTCTCATAATTTCAATCTGTTTTTACTTTAAACATTCTGCCTTTTCATTCAAGCAATGTAGCATAATCATATATGTCACGATTAAGTTAGAACAAGACAACAATAGTTCTAAGGGTATACTGTTAACCATTCGTAATGTAAACCTATCAAAGAAAGAAGAAGACTCAAATAAAGAATTACCTACTTACTACTTACTATCTTTTTTCTTTCGTACGCATGCGAACACAAATGTCAAAATCAGTCACTTGTGTGTTTGCTGTCGAATGATAAAAATTAAGGAAAATTGTTTTAACATAAACATTCCTTAATTGAAAATGGAAAGAAAAATGTAAGTAAAAATAATAAATGCAATTTAATCTGTGAACAACAAATATATATTTTTTTATTTTCTCAATTCCAGCACGAAAAAACTTCACAGCTGCTGGCACTAGTTGAGTATATGGAGGATAATCCTAAGTTCGCCAGAGGAGTGCCAATTTTTGGAAGCAGCAGGCAATCCCTTGAAGAAGAACTTGAAGAAAGTTCCGAAATTGCTAATAATTTTAAACAATTTTATTCTGAAATTTTTCAAGAAAATGTACCCAAACCCTGTAGACGATCTTAGCTCTAGAGTCACAACATGCATCAACGCCGTTCCACCGCACATTTACTCATTTGATGATAACTTCAATTCATTAAACAATCCAGACTCTTTTCACTTTACCAATCCTGAAAAGATAAAAATCGCAATTACTAATATCAATTGTAAAAAATCAAGCGGAGCTGATGAGATTTCCAATTTTCTCATTAAAAAGTTCCCAGATAATGTTATAAATCTGCTTACATGTCTCTTCAACAACTGCATTAACAATGGATATTTCCCATCACTCTGGAAATTGGCGAAAATTATTCCCATAAAGAAGAAAATAATTAATGACAACACTTTGAGCAATTTTCGTCCAATATCACTATTGTCCAACATCGGGAAGTTATTTGAGTCGGTCCTAAAAGAAAAAATGGAAAACGAATTACCAGTTAGTCCAATCTCAGCATACCAATTTGGGTTCAAGTCTGGCCATTCCACACAACACGCGCTTCTGAAGCTCCACAGTGATATAACATCAAACCTAAGGAACCAAGTGTCTACTGTAGCGATTTCCTTAGACATACAAAAAGCATTTGACTCGGTATGTCACACAGGAGTACTTTACAAGTTAATCGAAATTGGTATAGACCCATACCTGGTCAAGTTGATGGCAAGTTTTTTCACTGCACGAAAGTTTTTAATTAATATCAAAAACACGTCGTCAGCCACGGGTTTAGTAAACAGTGGGGTGCCGCAAGGAAGTATTTTAGCCCCTTACCTTTTCAATAATTTTCTGTATGACTTCCCCCATATCGGCCAAGGCTCTCAAGCGATTTTATATGCTGACGACTGCTTAATTTACAAAACGCCAGAACTCATCTCCAGAGCATCCATGAATTCTATCAAAAATGGGGAATCAAAATCAATGCCGATAAATCCGTAGCAATATGTTTCCGGAACGCTTCGGGAAAATGCCCTAGAAACGTTGTTCCAGAGAGTAAAGAACTTCAGCTGTCTCTTGAAGGAGTTGAGATTCCCTTTAAAACATCTCTCAAATACTTGGGTATTACTCTCACCAATCTGATGAAGTTCAATATACACGCACGGTCCGTCATGCAGAAGACAAAAGGTATATTAGTAAAGTTTTCATATCTATTAAATAGCAAATACCTATCACAAAACACGAAGTTACTTCTCTACAAAGTTGCAATTAGATCTATCTTAGCGTACGGGTTTCCGATCTGGTTCTCTATTTCCCCAATAGTGGCCAAGGAGTTAGAAATTCTAGAACGCAAGATTTTAAGAAAATGTGTCAACAAAAGCTACATTTCACAGGAAAAGAGATACAGCAATACTTACATATACAACACGTCCAGGGTTGTGCCTTTTTGTAAGTATATCCAAAGCCACCAGAAGAAATTCTTGGAAAAACTCGAAACCCATGAAAACTTACTAATGAATGAAATCTACCAAATGGAAAAGCACATATCGTGGCCAGAATCGTATTACCTCTCTCCAATTGGTAGATTAAACGAACCAGCCACAGATGTCAACAACGAATACACGCTACCTCCTTTTTACAGCAAATCAGCACCTGGCAACCATAGAGGTTAAGCTACAAAATATAAAATTTATATTTATATATATATTGGTATAATTCTTTTACAAATTACACTCACCAATAATTAGATTATTAAGCTCTAAACTGTACCTGAGCATTCGATTTACTTAGAATCGCATTTCAAACCTGTGATAAAATTTATACAAATTACATTTTAGTAATAGTCATTTAAATAATCTCCATAGACTACTATGATCCCTGTTAGTCAATTACTTAACAGAACTTTGTTTGTTATTTAGTTTTTATGTTTGTTTTTATACCTTTATTTATTTATTTACAGACATTCTCGCTCTGTTCGTAACATTTGAGGCCGTGAGCAAGCCTCATAATTTCAATCTGTTTTTACTTTAAACATTCTGCCTTTTCATTCAAGCAATGTAGCATAATCATATATGTCACGATTAAGTTAGAACAAGACAACAATAGTTCTAAGGGTATACTGTTAACCATTCGTAATGTAAACCTATCAAAGAAAGAAGAAGACTCAAATAAAGAATTACCTACTTACTACTTACTATCTTTTTTCTTTCGTACGCATGCGAACACAAATGTCAAAATCAGTCACTTGTGTGTTTGCTGTCGAATGATAAAAATTAAGGAAAATTGTTTTAACATAAACATTCCTTAATTGAAAATGGAAAGAAAAATGTAAGTAAAAATAATAAATGCAATTTAATCTGTGAACAACAAATATATATTTTTTATTTTCTCAATTCCAGCACGAAAAAACTTCACAGCTGCTGGCACTAGTTGAGTATATGGAGGATAATCCTAAGTTCGCCAGAGGAGTGCCAATTTTTGGAAGCAGCAGGCAATCCCTTGAAGAAGAACTTGAAGAAAGTTCCGAAATTGCTAATAATTTTAAACAATTTTATTCTGAAATTTTTCAAGAAAATGTACCCACAAACCCTGTAGACGATCTTAGCTCTAGAGTCACAACATGCATCAACGCCGTTCCACCGCACATTTACTCATTTGATGATAACTTCAATTCATTAAACAATCCAGACTCTTTTCACTTTACCAATCCTGAAAAGATAAAAATCGCAATTACTAATATCAATTGTAAAAAATCAAGCGGAGCTGATGAGATTTCCAATTTTCTCATTAAAAAGTTCCCAGATAATGTTATAAATCTGCTTACATGTCTCTTCAACAACTGCATTAACAATGGATATTTCCCATCACTCTGGAAATTGGCGAAAATTATTCCCATAAAGAAGAAAATAATTAATGACAACACTTTGAGCAATTTTCGTCCAATATCACTATTGTCCAACATCGGGAAGTTATTTGAGTCGGTCCTAAAAGAAAAAATGGAAAACGAATTACCAGTTAGTCCAATCTCAGCATACCAATTTGGGTTCAAGTCTGGCCATTCCACACAACACGCGCTTCTGAAGCTCCACAGTGATATAACATCAAACCTAAGGAACCAAGTGTCTACTGTAGCGATTTCCTTAGACATACAAAAAGCATTTGACTCGGTATGTCACACAGGAGTACTTTACAAGTTAATCGAAATTGGTATAGACCCATACCTGGTCAAGTTGATGGCAAGTTTTTTCACTGCACGAAAGTTTTTAATTAATATCAAAAACACGTCGTCAGCCACGGGTTTAGTAAACAGTGGGGTGCCGCAAGGAAGTATTTTAGCCCCTTACCTTTTCAATAATTTTCTGTATGACTTCCCCCATATCGGCCAAGGCTCTCAAGCGATTTTATATGCTGACGACTGCTTAATTTACAAAACGCCAGAACTCATCTCCAGAGCATCCATGAATTCTATCAAAAATGGGGAATCAAAATCAATGCCGATAAATCCGTAGCAATATGTTTCCGGAACGCTTCGGGAAAATGCCCTAGAAACGTTGTTCCAGAGAGTAAAGAACTTCAGCTGTCTCTTGAAGGAGTTGAGATTCCCTTTAAAACATCTCTCAAATACTTGGGTATTACTCTCACCAATCTGATGAAGTTCAATATACACGCACGGTCCGTCATGCAGAAGACAAAAGGTATATTAGTAAAGTTTTCATATCTATTAAATAGCAAATACCTACCACAAAACACGAAGTTACTTCTCTACAAAGTTGCAATTAGATCTATCTTAGCGTACGGGTTTCCGATCTGGTTCTCTATTTCCCCAATAGTGGCCAAGGAGTTAGAAATTCTAGAACGCAAGATTTTAAGAAAATGTGTCAACAAAAGCTACATTTCACAGGAAAAGAGATACAGCAATACTTACATATACAACACGTCCAGGGTTGTGCCTTTTTGTAAGTATATCCAAAGCCACCAGAAGAAATTCGTGGAAAAACTCGAAACCCATGAAAACTTACTAATGAATGAAATCTACCAAATGGAAAAGCACATATCGTGGCCAGAATCGTATTACCTCTCTCCAATTGGTATATTAAACGAACCAGCCACAGATGTCAACAACGAATACACGCTACCTCCTTTTTACAGCAAATCAGCACCTGGCAACCATAGAGGTTAAGCTACAAAATATAAAATTAATATTTATATATATATTGGTATAATTCTTTTACAAATTACACTCACCAATAATTAGATTATTAAGCTCTAAACTGTACCTGAGCGTTCGATTTACTTAGAATCGCATTTCAAACCTGTGATAAAATTTATACAAATTACATTTTAGTAATAGTCATTTAAATAATCTCCATAGACTACTATGATCCCTGTTAGTCAATTACTTAACAGAACTTTGTTTGTTATTTAGTTTTTATGTTTGTTTTTATACCTTTATTTATTTATTTACAGACATTCTCGCTCTGTTCGTAACATTTGAGGCCGTGAACAAGCCTCTCTCATAATTTCAATCTGTTTTTACTTTAAACATTCTGCCTTTTCATTCAAGCAATGTAGCATAATCATATATGTCACGATTAAGTTAGAACAAGACAACAGTAGTTCTAAGGGTATACTGTTAACCATTCGTAATGTAAACCTATCAAAGAAAGAAGAAGACTCAAATAAAGAATTACCTACTTACTACTTACTATCTTTTTTCTTTCGTACGCATGCGAACACAAATGTCAAAATCAGTCACTTGTGTGTTTGCTGTCGAATGATAAAAATTAAGGAAAATTGTTTTAACATAAACATTCCTTAATTGAAAATGGAAAGAAAAATGTAAGTAAAAATAATAAATGCAATTTAATCTGTGAACAACAAATATATATTTTTTTATTTTCTCAATTCCAGCACGAAAAAACTACACAGCTGCGGGCACTAGTTGAGTATATGGAGGAGAATCCTAAGTTCGCCAGAGGAGTGCCAATTTTTGGAAGCAGCAGGCAATCCCTTGAAGACCACTGGAAGACACAAACCTAGAAAAATTCATTTTTTATTATTTCAAAAATGTAAAAATACAATCATACTTACTGGTTGTTAGGTACTTCAAATAAATTCGAAGCATCTCTTAAATGCCTCCGTGGCACATTTTGAACCTCCTCCTCATCATCCATAACAATCACTAGAAATTTTATTTTTTTTTATTTTAAAATCCCTAAGCGCGTTGGGAACTAAAAGGGGGGGTGGAAAGGGGGAGGGGATAATTGGCGAACTCTCTTTTGGAGAGGTAGGGGGTATAGAAATTTTATTTTGTTTGTTTATTTACAATTTGTTTGTTTACAACTGAACTGTCAGTTGAGACAGAGCCACTGCTGCTTTTTCGCGTTTAAATTAGACATTTGGCGCTATTTTTGCCTTATTTCGCGATTAATTTTTCCAAATAATATTTAGCAACACTGAATCACGTAAGGCTATGCGAAAGAAAGAACGAAAGTTAGTGGAACGCATTCTTATACGAAAGTGAGTGAGTAGCCTTCGTTCGCACAAATTTTCTTTCGAGATCGTGGAACAGGCTGTTAATTTCAAGTGAGGATGAAGAGAAGAATGTATTAGTAGTGCAGCGGCGAGTGTTAAGGCAGCAACAAACATATTTGCATTGCCTGGCTCTTGATTGTGTTGTTACAAAAGTGTTCAATAGTTTCTACTTTCCTTGTAGACTTTTTACCATTGTTTTTTGATCGAGAAGCTTCAATAGTAGGTTACATCAGTCTCGTCATCAGCATTGTCCACTTGCTCATTTTCATGAACTATAACGTCTATTACACTTATGTTTTCCTTATTTTCTATTCCAAGTGCACGACCTGGTGGATTCAATAACTAAAATTTGCTGGAACATGACCTTTGGTAAATCCTTTTGCCAAACATGGATTTTTTTCAATTCGGAAATCAAAATTTCAAATTGTTTTGCTGTTGTTATTTTCGTGGTCAAATATAAAATACAAAATGCTTACAATATCAATGTCGAATAAAAGTACTATGTCGTCACAAAGTTTTACGGCGACAGATATTCTAAAAAATCGACTTCACGTCGACTGTTGTATCGACAATGATAATGGCAATCATTTGTCGCTATCGACAAAAAACGACAACCCTAATATCACTATTGTCGCCTCGACTTCATTTTGCGACGCCGACGGTAACCGTCTGATTTTATTGCAATAATTCATCGAAGGCTTGTAAATCTTTTTTTTTTGTCATTCTTTCTTTTGCAGACTTTTCTATTTTTTTCATTTGACTTGTTTTTTAATTTGACTTGCTGTCATTTTTTTCTTTATAAAAATTAATAAATAAACAATAAAACAGATTAACGTACACTTTTTAATATTTATTTCACTATTCAATATTATACACTTTTGCTGTTGACGCTTCCACGCACTTTTTATAACTGAACAATAAGTTAACTTTTTGAAAGCCAATCCAGAAACGCAACAAAATGCATAGCAAAACAAGTCACATTTAAGCACTTATCTGTGCAAAATATAATCAAAAAATACATAATTATGATCACTTTTCAAGCAGCTGCATGATCTTTTTAAGACCAATCATTTTTCAATTTTTAGAGGATCACAATACGATAATTAATAGCGGAAAAATAGTCACATTTTGCAGATCTTAATAATTGATTTGCGATTCCCCTACATTTTGTTGTTGTATATTAAATTGATATCTTTTCACTCATATGGGAGAGTCATTTTCGACTCCCTTTCGATCATACAAGTGAATTAATCATTTTTTGATCACCAAAATGACTCGAAGAAACAAACCAAAGTAATTTTTTCAAAAACAATCTTCCAAATGCTAACTGGAATGGTACGGGTCTTCCAATTGTAGTACACTGCATAGACAATTCGGAGAATTGTCCAGACCAAATCGGTATAGGTAGGACCTGAAGCATTCATGTCCTGATAGAAACTGGGTGAGATAAAAGTTTAAATAACCGTATCTCCTATTGAACCACGTGCCTAAATTTGATATCAGAGAATACGTCCATCTACCTTTTGCGTATGATGCCCACCTACTTTGCCACTCATTAATTCTCTGGTTTCTGCCAATATCAAACAAGTTTTCATTTTCATGCAAATCTTATGACATGAATATAAATTCACACTCTTTTGCTAAGATATAGATAGGTATCATAGCTGCAATAACACATGATACTGTTCTGTATGCACAGAATAAAAATGTTTCATTGATTGTGTCCATACAGGTGCTGCATATAGGATACTATTTTTAATAACTCCTACCAGTACCCCACTAAGGTAAAATGTTTTGTACGTTCGTATTACCCAAATATGCCAGGTCCATATCTTAACATCTACCAAGTAATACGTTGTTAAAATCAATTAGTTTTTAAATTTGCCCAATTGTAATATTTTCCATTTGCAATCATTTACATTTTTGTATCATTCGTTTTATGGCTTACATAAGGTCGGTCAAAAAGACTACTTTTGACAGTAAACTTAGTGTTTGAACTATTGTGATTCGACTCTCCATAAATTTCAAAGCACAATATGTCTTTTGACACAAATTTGGTTGTCAGATGGGCTACTGACCAACCTTATTTAGGCCATGATTCGTTTCTATTTCCAACATACAAAAAGAAAACGAAATTGATTAATTGTCAATGTTGAAATTGTTCAACTTTTAAATTTAGGTAACGCTGTCAAGGTTCATGTTTTCCTATAGGTCCCATATGACAGTACCTCCCGATGTTCGGTATTATGATCATTTTAGCCACATGCTTTTATTAATTACTACTTTGCTTGGGAAAGGTATTGGTGGAGGGTATTGAAAGTTCGTTAAATATCGAAAATAATTCACTAATATATAATTTCCTGTGATTACATGTGAGTAGTCACCATACGTTCATGTGGTACACAAAGATTATAGGTAATTATCTATTATAATTTTGCTATGAATGTTTATAGAAATAATACTTAATAATAAATATCACTTACGTGATTGGTTTTAGATATTATGAATAGCCTGATCTTATTTTTCAGCCATATATGATATAGAACTTCTATAATAGCTCCATGTGACAATTCAGCTCAATGTTTGGTATTGTTAAGAGCTTAGCAACATTTTTCATTCAAATTAAGTGTAATTTGGAAATTGCATTTCTAATGTTTGGAATACTGTGCTGCGGGGTATTTAGTTTTGTTCACCTCAAAATTGAGAGCAGAATGATTTCAAAATAGTTAAAGATAATTACTCTTTTACAACCATTACTCTTACATATTTAATTCCTATGTTTATTTTTCAATGGGGATCAAAGAAATTAATCGGCCCTATTACGGTTATCGTCGGCGTCGCAAAATGAAGTCGAGGCGACAATAGTGATATTAGGGTTGTCGTTTTTTGTCGATAGCGACAAATGGTTACCATTATCATTGTCGATACAACAGTCGACGTGAAGTCGATTTTTTAGAATATCTGTCGCCGTAAAAAATTGTGACGACATAGTACTTTTTAGTCGACGTTGATATTGTAAGCATTTTGTATTTTATATTTGACCACGAAAATAACAACAGCAAAACAATTTGAAATTTTGGTTTCCGAATTGAAAAAATCCATGTTTGGCAAAAGGATTTACCAAAGGTCATGTTCCAGCAAATTTTAATTCAGATTGGGAATTCATTGCTACAAAATTAAATGTAAACGGGCCTCCGATTAGAGACCCCGATGGCTGGCAAAAAGTATGTAAAAATGAAAATTATTTTTGTACGTTTTTATTAGTTAGTTTTCTAAAATTCTTCTACGTTTGGAAAGATTAAAAAAAAAAAAAACTTGTGCACAACAAGGGTGAAACCAGCAGCAATGGATGTGGCATTTTTAAGCAAATGACTTTGGAGGAGTCTGTCGCGAATATAATGCAGTTTCAAAAGTTATTGAATCCACCAGGTCGTGCACTTGGAATAGAAAATAAGGAGAACATAAGTGTAATAGACGTTATAGTTCATGAAAATGAGCAAGTGGACAATGCTGATGACGAGACTGATGTAACCTACTATTGAAGCTTCTCGATCAAAAAACAATGGTAAAAAGTCTACAAGGAAAGTAGAAACTATTAAACACTTTTGTAACAACACAACCAAGAGTCAGGCAATGCAAATATGTTTGTTGGCTGCCTTAACACTCGCCGCTGCACTACTAATACATTCTTCTCTTCATCCTCACTTGAACTTAAGATATGTAACGCATTTATAATCTTCATTTTTTCACTATATTTTTTATTTTTCCGAAAGAGTCGAAATTAGAATTCAAAATACCAGAAAAATATCTTTTTTTGTCAATAACAAGGGAGTGTTGCCAACGTTTTTTAATTGTTGCCAACTTTTATTTTAAACTGTCGATGTCGCTTCTATGCCTTACCATAATACCATTTTTGAATCGGAGCGACGGCGAGGGCGACTCTCACATAAAGTCGATGACGACCATAGTAACGACAACCGTAATTGGGCTGAATATTCGTTATTTTTTCATGTTTCTGCCACAATTTATGACATTTCGGAATTTATGTCATATAGACTTACATGCCACATCTACGTTTCCATCCAATACTCTCTTGGGAGATTCAAATTCAATAGAATACCGAATTTTCTTTTCTGACCAGACATTGGTTGGGATAGTGGATACAATACTGAAATAAATGCCTAAGTGGACAATTATCTGTAAGATGATTATCTACCCCCGAATAGCCTAAATACAATTTTGTAGCCAAATCAATTAACGAATGTGGTCAAGACCAAGACCCTACTTCGAAAATTGAAAATTTTAGGAGAAGAGATTTTCTACTCCCTTAGAAGCAAAGATGCCAAATAAAGGCCTGAAAATGAAAAAAAAAATGTGCAAGACATCGAAAGTAGCTTCAATCATATGGTGGTCATACCAAAACGAGATCATTTTGCAAGGATGGTTTCTTTTCAAATTACCAATAATTGCCGAAATTACTTGAAATCGGTTTGTACCCTTATCCGGGGTTATGACCCATAGCATGGCCTGCAAAAGCTATTTAAGGTATCTTGAAAACTGAGGAAAAGCTTCTAGAAGGATATAAATCCTTTTCTACTAAATGTCTAATTCGCTCTTCCATTTTGCACCCTTTATATTCGGTATTTCACTAATTGCAGTCCCAATGAATTGCATTTCGAGTTCTCATTG